ATGGCTGGCGGCCCTGTACCCCGTGACTGTAACGTTACAGGATATATTTACCTATTAAAGTTTGTGAATTAAACCTGTCTGTTGTGCTCAGCTGGGACTCTCACCCGCCCGCAGGAGCGGGAGGACCACAGCCGCGTGGACATCTGTCCAGCTGTGCTGCTGGAGTAGGTGGCCCATCTGTCTGTGAGGAGCCACTGCTTCCGTGACGTGACCTGGGGGCAAAGAGTCAATATTTCTAATCCAAAGTTTAAAAGCATAAAGATTTACTAAATTGTAGGAAAACTGTTAGGTTTTTGTATTGAATTTGCCATTTTGCAGGCTTCTCTATTGATGGAACATGTGGACTAAAGCATAAAAGCTTAGAGCTGGTGTTTGAAAGTTTGAGGCCCATGGAAGGGGGTCCACATAACCTGTAAACTGGGTCAGATTTGCAGGGTCAGGCCGTTTTGGGGAAGGGGTTTTACTGGACTCTGCGTGGCATGCCGGCTGTATGATGGGCTGAAGCTCTAGGTGGGGCCCCTCTGGGTGCCCAGCCCTGCAGCACCTGAGCGCCCTGGGGGCGGCTCCTTTGCAAACACCCAACCTTTCCTTGAAGCAAGACGTTCTGACGTCTGTAAGGACTTGGTAATACAGACGTTTTCTCTCTGGCCCTAGAATGCGGTCCAGGAAGTTGGGGTCATTGGTCAAAGTCACTTGGTTGGTTTGAAGCGTGACTTGGACCAGCATACAGAACTAAGTCTAAATCTTTGTGCCTTAATATATTCAGAAGGTGACAGAAAACGTCTCAAACAGTCCCTCAGTTTTTCAGTTTATTACCAACTGGAGGAAACAACAGGTAAGTCCATGCAAGAGGCCAGCAGGCCCACGGTGGGGGCGTGAGACATCCCCCTGAGCTCAGGTGCTGCTCCGTGTCGGGCTCTTCCCCGGCCCGCCTGCCTTGGGCAACCTGGTGGCGCTGGGCTGGCGGGGCATCCTCTGGCTGGATCCTTCCCGGGCACTACGTTCTGCCCGCGTGGGGCCTCCGCCGAGTGCTCCGCTGCCCTTGCTCCTCCCTGAGCAGACAGAGCACCGTCATCAGCTACCGGGGCAGAGGACACTGTTGCAGCCTCCAGTGTCTGTGTCGGAGGCTCCAGGTGGCCTGGGCCGGGAGCAGCGTAGGGAAGCTCAGCGTGCCGACCCCGCCAAGGCTGTCCCCCGACACCTCCTCCTCCTGGCCATCCTGTCCCCATCTGACCTGTCACACTAATGACACAAAGCACATCAGGAAGGCTCCTGGATTTGGAGTTTGGAAGCTCCTATTTTCCTCCCTCTTCCCTCAGTTTTCTGCAGATGCTCAGCAAGAGGGCCTCTTGTCCAGGGGCCGGATGCCTGGGCGCCTGCTGAGGCTCAGCTGCTGGGACATGCCCTGCCCAGGGCGTGTCACCTCAGGTACAGAACACAGCCTCCACTGCCAATTTGCCACTTCTGGTCTCCCTGCGTTGTGAAGGCAGCTAGATGCACAGCCACACCAGGGCGGGAGCTCACTGTAAAGCAGTGGCTTCCTGGGCTCAGGGTGTTGACGCATCGCAGTGAGATGGACAGGAACCCCAGGGGACAAATGTGCCTGGGTCATGGTCCATCCACGCCGGGCCTGCCTCAGCCTGGGCTGTCCTCCTCCGTTCCCATGGCTGACCAGGCTGTGTGCCCCCTGCCGGACCCCCCACCGCCCAGTTCTTAGTCAAGAGCTACAACGGAACCACGAGTTCTTGGAGAGAAGACGTGATGGGGCTTCCTAGGGGCCTGTTAAGTCATCTGTTTCACTGTCCATCACCTTGTGGGCCAAGGGAGAGCTCTGCAACAGAGATGCAGGTTCCTCACAGAATCCACCCCCCCGACTCCTGCAGGGCCAGGATGGCCCTTAGGAGACTCTGCAGGCTCTTCCTCGGCAAGCAGGGGGCCTGTGCTGTGGTGGACTGGGGAGCCCTGCCTTGCCTCCCTGGGCTTCCCCTGGAGAGCCCGTGTGTACTGGGTTCTATGCAGATGCAGTAACGATGTGGTAATGGGTTACCCAGAGCCAAGGGGGCGCAGACAGGAGCAGGTGGGGAGAAGCCAGGCCAGCTCTGCCCTTCAGTGACTCCCAAAACAGAGTGGACTGCCACCCCACATGGCCCCTGGTACAACTGCCAGTATTCTGGTCCCCACTGCCTGGTCCTGTGAGTGCCCCGGCCCCACTGCCCCACAGTGAATCCCAACACAGGAGTTCCCTCCTCAGGCGGGCTGGGACAATCAGGTCTGTGGTAGCCCAGCGCCCAACCCTGGGTGCCCGGGTGCCCCAAAGCACAGCTCAGGCCAAGACCCCACATACTGGCAGGGCGGGTCCCAGCCCTGGCCTCACTCTGCAGCCAGCTGTGCCTCAGCCCGCACACCTGTCAGCTCCCCTCCCCTCGCTGTAACGACCAGGACACCTCTGGTCACTCAAAGACGAGAATAATGTTCATCTTTAAATCTGACAAGGGTAATAAACCCTGGAAGTAAGAAACCAACGGACTCTGAGTCATAGAGGGTGCCAAGAAAACCACCTAACCATGGGAGTAGACCATTTGTCCAGCTGATTCCTGGAACCCTTCAGGAATTGTGTGCTTCTGGGGCTGCTGGGGAGACCCACTCAGGCTCCTCGTGTCACCTGTGTGGGGTTACTGGGGTCACATGGACTGGACTGGAGAGGCTGGGCCAAAGGTGACTGCAGGCCGGGGTGGGGGTGTGGGTGGCATGCTCCCAGGCCTGACTCCGGAGGGGCCCTCTTAAGGGTCAAAGACAGACAAGGGTCACTGAACGTTAAAGACAGTCCGGTTTACCCTCCTACCCCTGAAACCAGCCGTGGGCACTGTGTTCTACGACCCCAGTGAAGCCGAATCCCCAAACACCAGCCATCCATGACTCGGGGGGGTCTACTCTGCCATTTACATTTGGAGTGGCCTCAGGGCCCCTGCTCACTCCGCTGTAGGGCTGGGCAGAATGAGCATGATAAAACCCTTTCTCCCACCAGGGCACCTTTCTCCTGTGGTGGGTGCTCCCTCTGGTGCAGTCACAGGCCAGCAGGCTGCCCAGTGACTTGGACACGAGGCATGTTGTGTGGGAGGGCCAGGGGGGCGTGTCAGTGAGGAATGAGCCCCCTCTGGGCACCGCAGTCTGGAAGGCTGACTGGCAGGGTCTGGTGCCAGGGCAGGTAGACAGGCCAGGCTTTGGAAAGCACATAGCAGGGGCTTAATCAGTGTCTCCAGAACATGTACAGAAGACAACAAAGACTGACGCACAAGGCAGACTGCACACGTGCACATTAACCCTTAGCTCAGCTCTCACTTCTGGGGAGGTGATCCCCATGTGGATGTGCCCTGCGACCCCGCCAGGCACACGCCCAGCGACGCGGAAGTGGGGAGCAGCCTGTCCTGAGTGCCCTGCAGTGGTGCTGCACCTAGAGATGGGCTGTGAGGCCTTCGACTTCCTAGGAGCCATGTTAATAAGCAAAGGAAACAGAAAACTAACTTAAATATTTTAATTAACCTCAAACACCCAATATATCACTTTAGCACGTAATCAGAATAAAAATCATTCAAGAGGTGTTCCAGTTCCTTCTGGTGCAACTGTCCTCGGGCTCCGCCCACCAAACTCCACCTTCCACTTTCTGGGGCACCTCTTTTTAAAACACATGGTTTCCCTAAATGTTAAGAGAGAACACTCAGTTGAACCTATCTTTCCTTAGTGACTCTATACCCACCCCAAGACAAGCATTACTCCTCTGTGCTCTAGGGGTCCTCTGTGCCCCCCTTCTCTGCCAGGAAAGGGCAGAAATGAGTGAACTTGATAAAAAAAAATTAAAAAGAAATGAGTGAGCTTGACAGCCCCCACAGGCCACATGGAGGCCAGGGACAGGGATCCAGAGACCCAAGCCCCTGAATGCGGCTCTGGCCCTTGGTGTGGAGCGACCCTACCCCACTTTTGTAGAGACCTGAAGGCCAATGGCCCCAACATTCCTAAATGTCCACCATCATCCTAGGCCACCAACATCCCCCATTGCTCTCTGACAGCGCTCCATACGTTCTCCACCCCGGGTCCTGCCATTAGCAGGTGACCAGAGCTCTGGGTGGACAGGTGCTGTGACATGCAGCCTCGGGGATCTCGGCCTCATTGGTGGCCTCTGCCTCTCGGCCTCTGCACCCTCATCTGTCCTCTGCCCCCACTGGGCCTCTCCATCCAGGACCCAAGGCCTGAGTGCTCAAGAACGAGCCCGTGGGGCCCAGCACTCCACACCTCTCTTGACCCTGGCCTGGGCTTCCTCCCCACCTCCCAGCCTGGCACCCCAACACACGTGTTGCCCACACCCTCCTCTCTCCCTCTCCCCAGGCTGCAGCTCAGGCCCAGCTCCTGCTGGCGGCCTGGACCACCTGCCCCTTGGCTCCTTCATCCCCTGGCCCAAGCTCCAAGCAAACCTGGAATGGTAAGGTGGGTGACACCTGGGAGGGGGCAGCTGGAGCACTCCTGGGCTCTCACACCTTCACATGCTCCTGGCTCTGGGGCCCCAGTTTCACTGTACCTGGCAGTGCCTAGAAGGCACCCCTGCTCAGGAAGCAGGTAGGAGAGGGGACCCACGGTCTGACCCTCCAGGCTGCCAGTCTAGGGAGGGTGACAGCATCTAAGAGGCCAAAGAGTCTCTCCCCCCTCAGCACACTACGCTGCCTCTTCCCCGCTCCTCTCGTGTCATCATCCTCCCCAGCCAGGGTGGCGGGGCACCTCTGCAGAGCCCAAGTCTCAGCAGCAGCATTAGCCTCTGGGGAGAGGGGCGGTCAGCCCTCCTGGGAGCATGGCAGCTGTCTCTAATAAGCTGAGCTGTGAAATCATGCCCTCGGTCTCCAAGCTGCACAGCAGGGTGGCCCCCCAGGTCCTGCCCCCGCAGCTCCAAGCTGCTCTGGTTCTCTGAGGCCATAGCAGTTTCCATGGAAACTGGAGAGATCACCAACCCCCAGAGATAAACTAATAAACGCAACCTGCAAAAGGAGAGAACAGGCAGCAAGAGAACCGGAGGGAACCGGGGGGCCCCGGAGAGAGAGGTGAGTGCGTGGCAGCTGGGCCGCGGAGCAGGACCGGAGAGGCCGCAGGCTGTGGGGCCGAGGAAAAGGAGGGCCTTGCAGGGGGGGTACAGTTCTTGGCAGAGAGAAAGGAGGCCTCTAGAATTCAGAGAGAGACACAAAGAGAGGAGACAGTGTCCATCAGTGAGGAGGCCTGTGCTCCAGGGCCCACGGCCTTTCAGGACTCCCACCCACAGGGCCAGGCTGCCCTCCGCCCCAGCGTCAAGGCCTTCTCAGAACGCTTCTGGCCAAGGGGCCGGCCTGGAGGTTCTGCTGCATTTCAGACGGTTTCTGAAACTGGGAGCAGAAGCGACACATGGGGAGGATAAGTGCTCCATCACGACACGCTGGTCAGCAGCACCTGCGCATCCCTAGCCATGACCCCCAGACTGAAAAGGCCCCTCAGGCCTCTGCCCCCTGCCAGCCAGAGGCGTCCAGGCTGAGCCCATCCTGCAGACTCCTGGGCAGGACCTGGGCCGCGGAGGGGTATGGACGAGGGGGCAGAAGGAAGGTCTCTGCTACCCTGTTCCCTGAGGACTTCGGCAGAGGCTGTACATGCCGCAAGGACAGAAACCAAAGCTGCCTTGTTCCCACGTTTGCGAGATGAAGACATTAGTGTGGAGGTGCAAAGGGGCTGGGGTCGCCAAAGTCCCAGTCAAGGCCTAGACTGCTTGGGCCACCCTGGGGCACCCACCCTGCACCCTGATCTGGACGTGCACCCTCAGGGATCATAGCGATGTCAGAACTGAGGTACAAGGGGCCAGCCCTTGGATGGGCCCAGCGGGACCTGTCAGAAGACCAACAGAAAAGGCCTGGACACTCAGGGTCAAGCCCGCGCTGTGCAGGGCGCTGCCCACCTCCCGTCTCCATCCCTCCCAGCCGCCCGGGCCTATCTCTGACCTCGGGTCTCAGGCATGCTGGACGCGGACAGGGGCACGGCCGCGGGGTCCTGGGGCTCACTCGTCAGCCTCTGCCCGGCGCACATGGACTTGAGCATCTGGAAGACGGCGAGGGGCGCCACGTTCAGCTTGAGCAGGTCCACCAGGATCCTGGCGAGAACAGACGCAGCCCGGTGAGCCCCCCTCGCCTGGGCCGGCCGCCCCCCGGGGCCTCGGCTCCGCCTGGCGCGCTCACTTGAACACGTCGGGGTCCATGGCACCGCCCGCCGCCTGCGCCAGCTCGAACAACTCCATCTCCTCGGCACTCAGCACCTTCTTCCGCCGCAGCGCCAGCTTCTGCAGAACCGCCTCCAGCCCCGGGGGCGCCCCCGGCCCCGGCCCCGCGCCCGGCGCCGCCATCTGAGCGGCTGCGGAGAGTGCACGCCGCCCGGTCCCCGCGCCCGGTCCGGTCCCCGCCTCGCCGCGCCCTCTACCGGCCCGCCGCGTGCTTGCCTCCCCGCAGCGGCCCCGCCATTCGGCGCTCAGAACCGGGCCCGGGCAGTGGTGGAGACCTGCTCCTCGGCGACAGGGCGCCCCTGCGTGCCCTCTGAGGTGGCGCCCCCAGCGCAGCTCCTGGCATATACTGACGCTTAATAAGTACCGGTCTGGCCCAGCCTGTGACGGTTCCGCGCCGGCTCCCGGTAGGGGGCGCGCCTCGCGGCCGTAACGCACGGCGCCTCTTAGGCGCACGCGAGCTCCCGGACCTGGCTGCCTCCACTGCGCACGCGCGCCCCGAGGTTGTTGGGTAGGTCCATAATTCCGCGGGGCTTCGCTTTGCGCACGCGCCTTTTAAGGTAGCCTCCGGAAGAAGTGGCGGGGCATTTCCCGCCTGGCCAGGGGACGTGACGCCACGCGCAGCTTGATGACGACATTTCGGCGCTGGGTAGCCGAATGGCGGCCTCCACTCCTGAGTCGAGCAGCGCTATGGGTCCCTCAGGTGAGTGGCGGGAGTCGCGCGCGGTCGGGCCCCTCGTTCCGGCGGCCACCCCGGACCTCCGCCGAAGCCTTCCCCGTTACTACGCGAGCCCCGGGCCTTGGGCCAGCCGGCGGAGGAGCCAAGGGCCGGCCTGCGCCTTCCTGCCGCCTTCCCGCGCGCCTCGCCGCCCCGGTGGGCGCTCGGTTAACGTTCGCTGAACGAGGTGGAGGAGAGAGATCTCGGGGCTCAACAAGCGGCGTGGGGGAGATCGGGAGTGGGTCCCCGCCCGACGCTTTCTCCCCGTGCGGGCCGGCTTTGCGGAGGCTAAGTTAACTCGTCTGGGACTTGCGGGCCCGGTGCGCACTTCACGGGGCGGACGGGAGCGCACCCTGCTTCCAGCGCGCGTCCAGAGGAAGGTCTTGCAAAGAATGGCGCCGACGGGGCGGAGGCTCCCGCGGACGAACCGCGACACCCGGTCGGAAGCCGCTCCTGAAGGCGGTGGGTGTTGACATGGCGGGAGGAAGCGAGGGCTTGGTGCACAGCGCAGAGGGGCGCGCGGAGAGCAAGGGCGGAGAGGTGCTGCTCTCTCCCCGAAACCCCCCTGGTTTGGCGTCCTTCAGCCGATGCCTCTGCAAAGCTTCCTTTGAACGGGAACAGTTTTCACCTCATCATCTCTAAAGCTCTGCCCTTACGCCAACAGGTTAGGATTTTATGCTGCTTTGATCGTTTTGGAGTATTCCCTTGACCACTTGGTTCAGGACTGAAGCGGCTTTTTTTTTAATGTCTTAAAACCGAAACTGATGATTTAATTAAGAGTTGAACAAAGTTAGTTTTACTGAGCTCAGGTTCGCCTGCTCATCACAGAAAGGCCAGTACTCCAGAGGCATGTGTGGGAAGAAAAGAAAAGTTGCTTAATCTGAAGACAGGCAATCTGGGGAGAAGGCCAACTTGTGTTCCAGAACCAGCTTCAAAGATTCTGCTCAGCCCTGAGAGTTTTTAAAGGGAAAAAGAGGAAGGAATCTCAGCAAATCAAGGCAGGGGGTTAGGTTGTGTGTCATTTTCCACCGCGTGCAGACTGGCTGACTCCTGGTGATCCTTCCCCAGATGTTACCTAGCCCGTGTGGTCCGCCTGCAGAACTGCTGAGGGGAAAGCTGCAGGTGGAGAGCCAGTCATCCTTTTAACTACTGAAGTTTTCATTCCTGTCTCTTCTAATCTAGGAAAGTAATCGACAGGTTGGGTGAGGCATTGTGTGCATTCACTAGAGCAGAAGTCAGGAGTGGTCTCGTTTCTATAATTAGGGTTTTAGGGGAACAGAAATAGACAAACAGGAAAGGGGCAAAATAGCCGCTTACAAAGCCCCACTGTCAGACACCATTCTGTTCCTGTGGGGTCAGGAGCGAAAGTCTGTCTCCTGGAACTCCTTCATGCTTCATTCACAGGGCGCTGGGTTCTCAGAGTGGTGGACGTCCACGTGGGTCTGTTGCATCTCTGCCAACAGTGTTAGCTGCCTGCTCGTGTGTCCGGGCAGAGCAAACCGCAGTGGTTCTACTGCATACAGAGATACAGGTTATTATGAGCAATAGTGTCAGCCCCATTCACTTGAGGCCAGTTCTTTGAATTGTGCCAGCCACAGATGGAGCATCTCCTGTCACGGCTGCAGTCTGGTTGTCATGCAGTTATATATGTACTGCACCAACTCTGGTGGCAGTCGTGGTGTCTGTGAAACAACTCGGAAATGTGCATCAGACACTAGAAGATTCTGTGACTCTACTGTCCTGATCACTCAGTGCTTGAGCCTACTTTTCTGTGGCTCAGGGAGGCCTGGGAGACTTCAGCTATTCTACAAACAAGGCAGGGGACGTGGAGGGGCCTTTGTACTAGGCAGGGGGCACAGGGTTCTGCTCAGTCTCATCAGGAGGTGTTCGTGGTGCCAAGTGGCTAACATGCGTGTCTCCTGTTAGCCTCTCAGCTGACTGCACAGCTCCCCTGAACTCTCCATCCCCGTAGCCACCTCAGTTCCCGGGCCTGGGCGGTGGACAGAGATGTGCCCAGAAGGCCGTAGGCAGCCCACTGGTGGGACTTACATGCTTCCTCTCGCTCAGTCCGAGTCTGGGTATTTTCAGTTTCTGACCTGGGGCCGCAGAGGTAGGATTCTGGAGAGGTCCTCTGGCTTTCTGATGGCCCCTTCAGAGGCTCATTGGTGAAGCTTGCTCATCCCCTCCCTTCATTCTCCGAGGGCACAGGTGGTATGGAGATATGTCCACCTGTGTCTGAGAGATCTGTGGGGGCATCGTGCAGCTGAACCTTGGCTCTGCCACTTACCAGCTGGCTGAGGGCAAGTTACTTACCTTCTCTCTGCCCACATTTCCTTACCTGGACTGACTTTCTAGGGTTGTTGTGAGGATGCATTTTCTTTTTTCGCTTAACATATTTTGCCACTTAAAGCTGCATCCATCTGTCATCTTGTGGTTATGTTTCGGAAATGCAGGCTCAGCTGGGTTCTCTGCTTAGGGTCTCACAAAGCTGAAGTCAGGGTGTTGGCGGGCTTTGCTCTTACTTGGAGGCTCTTGAGAAGAATCTGCTTTCAAGCTTATTCAGGTTGCTGGCCAGAGTCAGTTCTTTGGAATTGTAGAACTCAGGTCCTCGTCTCCTTTCTGGCAATCAGCCAGGATGGCTCTGTGTCTTATGGTTCCCTGACTTGAGACTTTAATCGCATCTGCAAATCCCTTTACAGCCGTACCTAGAGGAGTGTTTGAATAACCAGGACAGGAGTCTTTAGAATTCTGCCTACCGCTGTGGATTAAATGACAAACACATTGAGAGCCCTTGGAACCAGGCTGGGCATGTGGCAAGTGCTGTAGAAGTGTCCCCGAGTGTCCCCCAGGGCTCATCCCCGCAGACGTGGCTCTGGAGCTGGCCACTTGTGAACAGCATCTCTGTAAAGCACGGGGCTTGGCAGCACAGTGTGTGTTAGGTTGTGTACATGTTCTCTCCATGTGAAGCGATGCGGTCTCCCGCTCTGTGGCAGATGCTGAGGTTTTGTCTTTGTCTTTCTTTCCACAGTGGTTTTATAAGTCGGACGCTTTCAACGCTCCCCAGGAGGCTGCCATGGCGTTCCCTCACCCGCAGCAACCCAGCTTCCTGCTGGTAAGAATTCACTGAAGAACTCACCAGTGCTTGTTTTTGGGGCATGTGGTGGAAATAGCACTGGACATGGATTAGAGTCATGGGCTTGGCACTGCCTTCTGTGGTGCAGGACCTCGGGTTTACTCAGCCGCTGAGCCCTGGCTTTCTCACCTACAGGCTGAGTCGATTCAAGTGCCCTTTCCTGTTTCCAGGGTGTAGAGTGGGACAAGTGACAGGATGTACAGCTGAGTCTTCATGTAAATCCTCACACGGAAGTGAGGCATCCTGATGACCATAACTGTTGTCAGTGCAAAGTGGAAGGCCCACTGAGCCAGGACGGCCAGAGTTGCGCTGGTGTTAAACTTGCCTTGAGGCACAGTGAGGCACGTCTCAGTGATGAACATTTCCAGTTTCAGTTCCCAGAACATACATTTTGTGGACATTCTTCCTCGGTGCTCCCTCTAGAGCCAACAGATCTGACCCAGGCCTACACAGCCCGGTCTCTGCCTCTCACTGAGGCACTGCAGACCCCACCCTCTTTTGGAGAGGGACAGGGCCGTAGGTATCCTTGGGCAAAGCTCTCTTGGGTAAAAATCTGGCATTTCCTGCTGATATTCATCTGTTTGCACAGAGGCTTCTTTGTGTAGTCACAATACATGTTGTCCCCCATGCCCCTGACCTGGGCTAGATTTCCCTATTTCTTGTCCTGAATGTTTCCTGGCTTCTCCATCACCTTCGTGATCAGCGTCAGCACTTGGCTGAAGCCACCTGTAGTTTTTATCCCACCCTGTCTCTGAAGGTAACGGATACAGGACATCTGGGGTAAGAGGGCCAGTGACAGCAAGCATCCCCTGTCTGGGCTGGACACTACGGCTCACGATCACCATGCTGTAAATCGTGGGCAGTCAGTCCTGGGGGAAATTTCTAATTGATGTGAGCACCCTGGATTGAGAAGGGGGCCAGCCCCTTGCTGGGGGATTGGGTGGAGGTGAGTTCCGCTCTGATGATGTACAGTGTTCTGGGGTAACTGCAGAGGCTGGGCAGGGGTGTTGGGAGCAAGCCAGGACCCGGCCTCCCCTGGCCGCCTCCCTTAGGCACAGCTAACATGGGAGGTGCTGGGTGGTCAGGCAGTGGTGTGTGTCTCACTCCTGCCCATCACTTGGATTTCAGTTTTGAGTCGAGCCAGAATATCAGCAAAAGCTGCAAGACAAGCACACTCACTTTGGGGGGTTTCTCCTGTCTTCCAGGCCAGCCTGAAAGCTGACTCTATCAATAAGCCCTTTGCACAGCGGTGCCAAGACTTGGTTAAAGTCATTGAGGACTTTCCAGCAAAGGTACAGTCCTGCTGCCGTCTCTTTGGGGTGTGTCTCAGCCACTCCCTGAAGACCTTATTACAGTCCCTGA